GAATATTTTTCTACGATTATATTAACAAAGTTATAAAAAATGTTACGTTTTAAAGAAAGTGTTATAAAACGGACAATTTTTTCTTGTAAACTCATTGTTAGTATAATTCAGAAAAAATTGTTGTAGGAAATTTTTCGTAAAAAAGAAATGAAAGTATGAATGTCAAATCTTAATTTTTTAAAATTTCGTATAAGTATGTACATACATATGCATGCGTGTATCCTGCTTTCAGCGTTACAAAGGATCAACGATATGCACGTGGCAGGTATTTAATCTCGTGTGTGTGTGCGCGTGCGTGCGAGCGTGCGTAACATTTTTATATGTAGTTCAAAATAAGTACAAAGTGTTTAATCTCGGCGTTATGAACGGTATGGTTCATAACCTTTTAAATCATCCAATGAATTTTTTTCTACGAATATGAAACTCAAGGGTCGTAAAAGAAAAAGAGTGTCCCAAATTGCCCCGGTCTGCCATTAAGTTTACAAGTAAAAGTTGTCCATTTTGTAACACTTTTTTTAAAACACTATAATTTTCTTTAAAAAATCGTAGAAAATGTTACAAATACGGATTTATTTGAAAATCAATGATCTTAAAGACTCATACACTTTTATGCCTGGCAGCCAATTCCCCTGAGTAACGCAATAGTTTGAATAAAAAATTTTTTTTCTTTCAATGTCCGTCTTTAATGTCCGCTATTTTATAATACACTTTGTGTAATTCAAATTTGATCTACATGGTTATTAATGGGAATGTTCAAGCTCTTTAATTTAAGCTTTGGTACTTCTCGCTATGATTTTTTTTAGATATCGCTACTCAAAACATATTAAAAATTTATGCTAAAATTTAGTAGCCCATTTTTTTGCAGATGAGTGTACAACAAATTTTGAATGCTACAACAAATTTCGTCAGTTATAAATATCAAATGAATTTACTGATTATTAACCCTAGTAAGTCATTCATGGGTTCAACGTACCATATGCGATTTTTTACATTGCTATAACTTTTTTATAATATAATTTGAAGACCCGGATTGAGGCTGAAAAAAAATTTTAACTCCATAGATATGATAAGCCTGCAAGGATATTTTTTGTATGTTATTCTCGATGTGAAAATGCACAAAAGTTCAGAGAGGGTACTTAGGACCCATACGTGACTAACTTGTAAGTTTTCGGTGTTCTGGGTACCTCTTTATTTTTTATTAAATATATGTTTACTGAGTTTCGGATAGTATAAAAGTAAGTACATGAAAATGTAGAACT